GAAACTAAAACCCATTCAGGGTTTATTTATTTAATGAAAGAATTTAATTAATGAAAGCATTTAAAGGCCTACCATTTAAATCTTGAGAATTTTGTCACATTGGTTGAATATAAAGATACCTACTAAAACCACTGATTTAGGTTACTCTCTGGAAGCCTTTCTAGACTCCCTAGCTCTTACAGGTAGAAGTATAAATCAGAGAAGGTAGTGAGAGAATACCAAACCTGCTTCACATTACAATGTTTTTAGAAATAGCTCAAGTAGGCTAGGCGCGGTGGCTCATGCCTGCTCCAGCACTTTGGGAGGCCAAGGCAGGCGAATCACAAGGTCAGGAGTTCCAGATCAGCCTGGCCAACATGGTGAAACCCCATCTCTACTAAAAATACAAAAAATTAGCTAGGCGTGGTGGCAGGTGCCTGTAATCCCAGCTACTCGGGAGGCTGAGGCAGGAGAATTGCTTGAACCCAGGAGGCACAGGTTGCAGTGAGCCGAGACTATGCCACTATACTCCAAGTGGGTGACAATGTGAGACTCTGTCTCAAAAAAAAAAAAAAAAAAGGAGAAATAGCTCAAGAATTACTAGAAGTTCAAGTAAAAAGGACCCCAAAAATAGTTACTGAATGAAATACTGGCCCACAAGTATAAAATATTGCTACATTTTACATAAACATCTATTTCAAAAATCTTTCATTTAATGATCCATCTTAGGATTAATCAAAATTGACCAAAATAAAAAGTTTTGATAGTAAAAAACAAAAATAAGTTCCCAACACTATGTTGGTTTAATACTATCAAACCAAATTATGCAAACTGAAAGTTACACAATCTGTTTTATGAGAGTTTAAATGTGAAGTTCACAGATGAATGATTACTCTTTAATATTCTGAATGAAGCCTTGAGGTTAAAAGGGACAGGCTGGGCACAGTGGCTCACGCCTGTAATCCTAGCACTCTGGGAGACCAAGGTGGGTGGATCATCTGAGGTCAGGTGTTCGAGACCAGCCTGGCCAACATGGTGAAACCCCGTCTCCACTAAAAATACAAAAAATTAGTCAGGCGTGGTGGTGTATGCCTGTAATCCCAGCTACTTGGGAGATGGAGACAGGAGAATTGCTTGAACCCAGGACGTAGAGGTTGCAGTGAGCCAAGATCATGCCACTGCACGATCTGTTGCACGCCTGGGCAACAGAGCGAGACTCTGTCTCAAACAAACAAACAAAAAAGCAGGGGACGGTGAGAATATCTGATAGTATGAGACTGAATCTCCAGAGACCTACACTTGAATGTACAGATCTCAAGACAGTCACATTTACCAAGTGTTCAAAACAAAAGAAAGTTGGGTGCGGTGGCTCGCAGCTGTAATCACAGGGCTTTGGGAGGCAGAAGCAGGAGGATCACTTGAGCCCAGGATTTCAAGACCAGCATAGAAAACATGGTGAGACTCTATTGCTATATATATATATATATTTTTTTTAAATTAGCCAGGGGTGTAAGGGCATGTACCCATAGTCCCAGTTACTCAGGAGGCTGAGGTAGGAGGATCCCTTGAGCCCAGGAGTTTGAGGCTTCAGTGAGCTGCAACTGCGCCACTACACTCTAGCCTGGGCAAGAGTCATCCCCTACCTTGAAAGAAGACCAGAGGAGACTCTGTCTCAAAAAAAAAAAAAAAAAAAAAAAGGGCTGGGTGTGGTGGCTCATGTCTGTATGCCTGTAATGCCAGCACAGGGGGAGGGGGAAAGGCGGAGAGGGAAGAGAAGATAGAAGGAAACAGATACATGGCCATTCAATCTTCAGCTTCCTTTTTTTTTTTGAGATGGAGTCTTGCTCTGTCGCCCAGGCTGGAGTGCAGTGGCATGATCTCGGCTCACTGCAAGCTCCACCTCCTGGGTTCACGCCATTCTCCTGCCTCAGCCGCCTGAGTAGCTGAGACTACAGGCGCCCACCACCATGCCCGGCTAATTTTTTGTATTTTTAGTAGAGATGGGGTTTCACCACGTTAGCCAGGATGGTATTCATCTCCTGACCTCATGATCCGCCCGCCTCGGCCTCCCAAAGTGCTGGGATTACAGGCGTGAGCCATCGCACTCGGCTGTGGGAGTTTTATTTAACTCTCCAAAGGGAACAATTTTTCAATCTGAGAAAGAAATGTATAGTGCTAACTATGGCAGAAGCAAAGCAAAGCAAAGACAAATTACTTCAGCATGCTAAAGAAAACTTCAAAAATGAAATCAAGTCCCGACTCCAATCACTTTTAATTAAAGATTTTCAGCCATTCTTAACTTGGAGGAATTTACCTAAAACAAAAGCACTTTTCCAACTGAATAGAAAGAGTACACTGATGGATGTGGCCGATATGATACAGTGGAAGGACAAACTAGAATCAGAAAACGTGAGAGTGAGTCCACACGGAGAATCTCCATGAGCTTCTCATGGGACTCTTTTCTAAAACAGTTTAAAATTTCTACTCCAGTCACCTAAATGAGTTGTTGTAAGGCTTAAATGAGACAATAGTGTGTAAGAGCACTTACTTAATCATTTTGTATGGTTTAGGTACTTAGTCTGCCTTGTTTGGTACCAAATACTATAGTTACTCACGCTAGATAAGTCAGAATACAATAATGTAAATGAGTTTTTTCATGACATGTACTTGGACTCCTAATTTATAATATTTATCTATTTTATTTGTAAAGTAATCCTTGTAAAAGGGCCTTGCTTTCATTCTTCACGATTTAGTAGACCAGACACATTCTTTTTTTCTTTTGTTGTTGTTTTTGTTTTGAGATAGTCTCGCTCCCGTTGCCCAGACTGGAGTACAGTGGTGCAATCTTGGCTTACTACAGCCTCAACTTCCTGGACTCAAGTGATCCTCCCACCTCAAACTCCTCCTGAGTAGCTGGGGCTACAGGCATGCACCACCAGGCCAGGCTAATTTTTGTATTTTTTTGTAGAGACAGGGTTTCACCATGTTGCCCAGGCTGGTCTCGCACTCCTGGGCTCAAGTGATCTGTCTGCCTCAGCCTCCCAAAGCACTGAGATTACAGGTGTGAGCCACTGTGCGGACCCAGACACAACATTAATAAGAAAAATCAGGAAAAAACAATTAGAGGCCAGGTGCAGTACCTCATGTCTGTAATTCCAGAACTTTGGGGGGCCAAGGCAGGCGGATCACCTGAGGTCAGGAATTCAAGACCAGCCTGGTCAACATGGCAAAACCCCGTCTCTACTAAAAATACAAAAATTAGCCAGGTGTGGTGGCAGGTGCCTGTAAACCCAGCTACTTGGAAGGCTGAGGCACGAGAATTGCTTGAACACGGGAGGCAGAGGTTGCAGTGAGTCAAGGTCGCGCCACTGCACTCCAGCATGGGCAAGAGAGTGAGACTCCGTCTTAAAAAACAAAACAAACAAACAAAAATATTAAACATAAGCTAATTTAACCCTGTACTCATTTTGACCTTAATCTACATACTTACACAAGTGTTTGTAAGTATGCATACTTTAAAATACTTGTTAAATGTTACAATTTTTTTTTGGAGAGTGAGTCTCACTCTGTCACCCAGGCTAGAGTGCAGTGGCACAATCTCAGCTCACTGCAACCTCCGCCTCCTGGGTTCAAGCAGTTCTCTGCCTCAGCCTCCCGAGTAGCTGAGATTACAGGCGCCTGTCACCACGCCCGGCTAATTTTTTTAGTATTTTTAGTAGAGACAGGGTTTCACCATCTCGTCCAGGATGGTCTTAAATGCCTGACCTCGTGATCCGCCCGCCTCGGCCTTTCAAAGTGCTGGGATTACAGGCGTGAGTCACCAGGCCCAGTCCTGTTTTTATTTTTTGAGACAGCATCTCACTCTGTCGCCCAAGCTGGAGTACAGTGGCATGGTCCTGGCTCACTGCAAACTCTGCTTCCCAGGCTCAGGTTCAAGAGATCCTCCCACCTTAGCTTTCCAAGTAGCTTGGACTACCAGTATGCACCAACACACCTGGCTAATTTTTTCGTGTGTTTTTTGTAGAGACAGGGCTTCACCATGTTGACCAAGCTGGTCTTGAACTCCTGGGCTCAACTGATCCACCTGCCTCGGCCTCCCAAAGTGCTGGGATTAGAGACATGAGCCATCACACCCAACCAAATGTTACAGTTTTTTGTGAATTAGTTTTACATAGCACAGTCTCATTCAAATATCCCTTCTTTAAAAAAGTTCAAAGACACTATATGGGAAAAAATTATGTTGCAACGAAGTGGAACACAGAGGAAATTATCATCCAATGTATGCATTAAGACATCTCATAGATTATTTTAGACAAAATTAAGCAGATAAACTGGACTTCAAAAACAAAGATCTGCTTTTGGCCAGGCGTGGTAGTTCACACCTGTAATCCCAGCACTTTGGGAGGCCGAAGCAGGCGGATCACCTGAGGCCAGGAGTTTGAGACCAGCCTGGCCGACATAGCGAAATCACGAATCTACTAAAAACATAAAACTTAGGCGTGGTAGCATGCACCTGTAATCCCAGATACTCAAGAGGCCGAGGCACGAGAATCACTTGAACCCAGGAGGCAGAGGCTGTAGTGAGCTGAGATCATGCCACTGCACTCCAGCCTGGGTGACAGAGCGAGACCCTGTCTCAAGAAAAAAATAAATAAAGACCTGATTTCACAAGTATGAGCCAGTAGAAAGTCAGACACAGACACATATACTATCATCCTTAGTATTATCTTATTCAAGAATAATAGCTAGCTGTAAGTAAAAGCTCAAATCCTTCACTCCAGGAAAACACCCAGAAGGGATGAAGGTCAGGTAGGAGAGGACCAGAACAACTATACAGCCAATACCTGGCAGAAGATTCAAAATGTAATGAACAACACAGATGATAATGGGATGAACATAGAGTTGCTCCATTCATGGGCCACTAAGGGTTAAACACTGCCTCTTCCCTATAGTGTAATTGTTTCTTCACACAAAATAACCACTGTTATGCTATTACTCCATTATTCCTTTTAAATACTTACTATCATCTCCAACAGGACCTGCTGAACACTGTGCTGGAGGGTCCCGTGCCAGATCATTCAATTCCTACAGAAAAAAGAAAGAAAAGAAATATATTCAATGTAAATGTACCTTTTATCCATTATTAAAGTTTATGTTGTTACCAATATTCTCTGTCATGCTGGTGAAACTCTTTTAAGAGCATTCCTTCAGAGTAAGAGATGAGTAGATTGGTGAATCTTTAAGGTATTTTGGATTCTCCAATGCAATGTGTATTTTTAAAGTGGGTCATTTTTGCTTTGTTCAGAGCTTAGTAAATAAATACAATGAGGAAGGTAAAACATGTATTATGGGCTGGGAGCAGTGGCTCACACCTGTAATCCCAGCACTTTGGGAGGCTGAGGCAGGCAGATCACTTGAGGTCAGGAGTTCGAGACCAGCCTGGCCAACAAGCCTGTCTCTAGTGAAGACAGAAAAAATTAGCCGGGCATGGTGGTACATGCCTGCAATACCAGCTACTCAGGAGGCTGAGGCAGGAGAATCCCTTGAACCAGGGAGGCGGAGGTTGCAATAAGCCAAGATTGCACTACTGCACTCCAGGCTGGGCGAGAGAGACTCCGTTTCAAACAAACAAACAAAAACAAAAAACATGTATTATGTATTAAAGAGCCATAAAAACCGTTTTTGTTGTTTTTTTTTTTTTGAGACGGAGTCTCGCTCTGTTGCCCAGGCTGGAGTGCAATGGCGCGATCTCAGCTCACTGCAAGCTCCGCCTCCCGGGTTCACGCCATTCTCCTGTCTTAGCCTCCCGAGTAGCTGGGACTACAGGCACCTGCCACCATGCCTGGCTAATTTTTTGTATTTTTAGTAGAGATGGGGTTTCACTGTATTAGCCAGGATGATCTCGATCTCCTGACCTCATGATCCACCCACCTTGGCCTCCCAAAGTGCTGGGATTACAGACGTGAGCCTCCACGCCCAGCCAAAACTGTTTTTATGTAAACATTTCATTTATTATTTTTCAAAAAAAAATTTAAGGCCAATTTTAGTATCTCAAAACTATTAGGTTACACTTGGGACAACCTCCTAAAGTCATAAATGTTCCAAAATTATACTGGACCATCTGACAAGTTGATACGTTTTCAGTGGAAGTCCACTACCAGGGTTCTAAAAGTAGAAAAAACTTTGAAAGAATGTATTTTAGACTGGGCACAGTGGCTCATGCTTGTAATCCCAGCACTTTGTGGGGTCAAGGCGGGAGGATAACCTGACATCAGGAGTTCGAGACCAGCCCAGCCTGGTGAACATCGTGAAACCCCATTTCTACTAAAAATACAAAAATTAGCCAAGCATAGTGAGTGCATGTCTATAGTCCCAGCTACTTGGGAGGCTACGGCAGGAGAATTGCTAGAACCTGGGAGGCGGAGGTTGCAGTGAGCCAAGATCATGCCACTACACTCCAGCCTGGGGCAACAGAATGAGACTTTGTCTCAAAAAAAAAAAAAAAAAAAAAAAAAAAAAAAAAAAAAATTTTAAAAGGCTGACTGAAGTAATAAAAGCCACCATCCATAAAGCTTTGTAGCTCCCAGGAGCGATGGCTCACACCTATAATCCCAACACTTTGGGAAGCCAAGGCAGCGCCAATCACTTGAGGCCAGGAGCTTGAGACCAGCCTGGCCAACATAGCGAGACCCTGTCTGTACTAAAAAAATACAAAATTAGCTGGGAGTGGTGGCACACACCTGTAATCCCAGCTACTCGAGAGGCTGAGGCAGAAGAAATGCTTGAACCCGGGAAAGGCAGGTTGCAGTGAGCTGAGATCATGCCACTGCACTCCAGCCTGGGCGACAGAGTGAGACTCCATCTCAAAAAAGAAAAAAAGAAAAAAAAAAGCTTTTTAGTCAGAGACTCCTCTACCTGTAGTAATGCTTTATAATCAGTTACCAGCTTCTCAGCTTTTTAAACATAAAAGTTCAGAAACTTGAGACTTGTTATTGGGTGGGGATGCCTGAAAAATTACAAAGCAGGAAATCATACTATATTCCATTTCCCCTCAGCTTGGTTTTTGAGACAAAAACAAAGTTCTTAAGAAGAACTAGTGTTCGATTATATTTTAAAACTACAACAGTGAAAAGAGAAAAGTCTAAGATTTTTTAAATCCAAAAACCATTTAGACTCTTACGTTGTTTCATCCTGTCTGTAAGTTTGGAGTACAAAGCATAAAGTACAGAGATAAAGTTTGAAAAAGGGCCAGGCGCAGTGGCTCCTGCCTGTAATCCCAGCACTTTGGGAGGCCGAGGCAGGCGAATCATGAGGTCAGAAGATCGAGACCATCCTGGTTAACACGGTGAAATCCTGTATCTACCAAAAATATAAAAAATTAGCCGGGCGTGTTGGCGGGCACCTGTAGTCCCAGTTACTCAGAAGGCTGAGGCAGGAGAATGGCGTGAACCTGGGAGGCGGAGCTTGAGTGAGCTGAGATTGCACCACTGCCCTCCAGCCTGGGCAACAGAGCAAGATTCCATTTCAAAAAAAAAAAAAAAAAAAAAAAAACAGAAAGTTTGAAAAAAAGAAGGCTCTGGATTGAGATAATGATTAACTTACTCAAATATGTCAATTTTTGGATCCTGTCTCTAAAATAGAGATTTTCTGCCCATCTCAAGAAAAAAAGTAATAGTTCCTATTCTCAAATATTACTGACAGCACAGGTTGGTATAACTAAGAACATCTGGCTTTATTTAAGACATTGCTGTAGCAACAGGTTGTTATTAAAATATAACTTGAATTTAACAATTGAACAATTCTGAGGTCCTGCCATGTTCATTAAGTGGAATTTTACTTTTGATTTCACTGTAATCTTTTGCTTCTTTCAAACTGAGTTACAATTTTCCATGCTGACTGACATCAAGGTTTTTAACTCAAGCGCTACGATTTATCTAAGCAGAATACAAGATCCATCAGTCTGTTTCACAAGCCAGTATGATATAATTTTAAAACCCTAAGCCAAACTTAGACTAATAGACCTTTAACGCGCTCATTCAACACTTCCTTGGCTGACGGCACTGATACAGCTGAATCTCAAAAGCATACTGCTAAGTGAAAGAAGCCAGACATAAGGCTACATGATGTATGATTCCATTTATATGACATTCTAGAACAGGCAAAACTATAGTGACAGAAAGCAGATCCATGGTTCCAGTGGCTGGAGGGAGTTAGAGGGGGGAATAACTATAAACAGATATGAAGAAAATCTGAGGAATGATAGAAGTGTTCAAAATCATTATTTTTGTAGAGATTGTACAACTATATGCCTATTTGTCAAAACTCAAATTGTACACTAAATTTTACGGTATGTAATACTGTATCTCAAAGTTGTTTATTATTGCTTTTTAAAGGGGAGGTAAGGTCTCACTATGTTGCCCAGGCTGGTCTCTAATGCCTGGACTCAAGCAATCCCTCCTCAGCCTCCCAAAGTGCTGGAATTACAGGTGTGAGCCACAGTGCCTCGCCAGTTTTTTATTCTTAAAAGTACATTTGGGCTGGGCACGGTGGCTCACGTCTGTAATCCCAGCACTTTGGGAGGCCAAGGCAGGTGGATCACGAGGTCAGGAGCTCGAGACCAGCCTGACCAACCCCATCTCTAAAAAAAAAAAAAATACAAAAATCAGCCAGGTGTGGAGGCACACACCTGTAATCCCAGCTACTGGGGAGGCTGAGGCGGAAGAATCACTTGAACCCAGGAGGCGGAGGTTGCCGTGAGCTGAGATTGTGATACTGCACTCCAGCCTGGGCGACAGAGCGAGACTCCATCTCACACACACACACACACACACACACACACAGAGCGAGACTCCATCACACACACACACACACACACACACACCCCATTTGGATTCAGAAACAGATCTTTTTTAAAAAAGAAAAAAAAGCACATACCTATCCATCTTTACATGTGCATAAAATATCTCCAAAGAATACACAAGAAACGCCAGGCACGGTGGCTCACACCTGTAATCCCAGCACTTTGGAAGGCTGAGGCAGGTGGATCACAAAGTCAGGAGTTCGAGACCAGCCTGGCCAACATGCTGAAACCCCGTGTCTACTAAAAATACAAAAATTAGCCGGGCATGGTGGCACACACCTGTAGTCCCAGCTACTCGGGAGGCTGAGCCAGGAGAATTGCCTGAACCCGGGAGGCCTAGAGGATGCAGTGAGCTGAGATGTCATCGCTGCACTCCAGCCTGGGTGACAGAGTGAGACTGTCTCAAAACACACACACACACACACATAAAGAAACTAGTTAATAAATAATTGCCTTTAGGAAGGAAAGCTTAGGGGTGAGAATGGGAACTATATTCCTTTTATACATTTTGAATTTTATAAAAGTGTGTATATTGCCTATTTGAAAAATAAATTACCCTTTAAAATTTTCTTTTTCTCTTTTTTTAACCAAGTGGGTCTGTGCAAGAATTATCCTGACTACATATGTGGATTAAAATAGCTTTAAAAATTGTCATCATGGCTGGGCACAGTGGCTCACCTGAGGTCAGGAGTTCGAGACCAGCCTGGCCAACATGGCAAAACCCCATCTTTACTAAAAGTACAAAAATTAGCCGGGCATGGTGGGGGCCTCCGTAATCCCAGCTACTCAGGAGGCTGAGGCAGGAGAATTGCTTGAACCTGGGAGGCAGAGGTTGCAGTGAGCCAATATCGCACTACTCCACTCCAGTCTGCATGACAAGAGCGAGATACCAACTTAAGAAAAAAAAAAATAGGCCAGGCGCGGTGGCTCAAGCCTGTAATCCCAGCACTTTGGGAGGCCGAGACGGGCGGATCACGAGGTCACGAGATCGAGACCATCCTGGCTAACACAGTGAAACCCCATCTCTACTAAAAAATACAAAAAACTAGCCGGGCGAGGTGGCGGGCGCCTGTAGTACCAGCTACTCGGGAGGCTGAGGCAGGAGAATGGCGTGAACCCGGGAGGCGGAGCTTGCTGTGAGCCGAGATCCGGCCACTGCACTCCAGCCTGGGCGACAAAGCGAGAGTTCGTCTCAAAAAAAAAAAAAAAAAAAAAAAAATGTCAT